ATAATGCATGCTTTCACTTGTAGGCAGGTGCTATTATATGACAGCAGTCATTTGTCATTCCTAGTTCCTCTACCAATGTCATGATATGGGCCTTAAAACAGATAAGGTGGGCTTGTCTTCAACAGAGGATCATTAAGCAAGAACAAAAGAAAATGCATTTTTCATTGCAATTTTTCTTTTGTTCTTCAAACTTAAATCACAGTAGGTGCACTGATCGGTCTAGCTTCTATGGGAGTGCAGAGTTAGAAATACTTCATGTTTACCAATAGCTGTGTTTTATCAACAGTAGAGTAAGTAAAGCCATCTGTGTTTTCAAAGTAAAGAAGGATAAGGAGCATAAAATTTCAATTTCTTTTAAGAATGGTTCCTCTCCATTTCTAAATTATTTCAATGCAAGGTTTTGGATTTGTGACATTGTTCACCACCATCTTCCTGGATTTAGCACAATTCAAGCAGTTTTCTTGGCAAATAAAAACTATAACTACAAAAGCTATAGCTTATTCCTAATTGTGTGTGCTGAGCCTCTATATAGAATCCAGAAACGCCACAGCATAAGCATAAGACAGACCATCTGATGCAGACAAAATTAATTCTGGATAGCTGAACCTACAGTAAAAAAACACCTTGATTTCCCTTTGTATGAGTGGTGAGATAAAACACCTTTGACCCTTGTTGATCTTTATCAACAGATACACATAGTATTAATGGTTTAATCACAGAATCATGTCAAGGACTGTATTTATTTGAAACAAATTTTATAATTATAGTGCCACAGTGTCGATCCAACCAGAAATTCTGAAGTTACTATTACCATGTAGTATTTATTTCCCTAATTTTAAACTGTGTATACAGTATCTACTGTGTATATTTATGTGACTGTATTTTTAGGTATGTACAGCTTATTCTATTTTTTTGCACTTTCAGAACTTATTGTATATAGTGTATGGACTGTATCATGTTCATTACATATCTGCAGTGACTACTTCTATAGTAAATAACAAAGGTATGTTGTTGGTCTTACAGGCCACCCTTAAATCATCAATTTGTAAAGACTTGTGAGTCTAGATCAATTTAGCAAGTTAATTGTTTCAATTAAGGTAGAAATGTCTTTCTATTGTCCTTGAAAGCTACAGTCCAGTGATTCCCAACAATGGGAGTCCTCCAGTTTCTTCTGGTTCTTGTTAATGCTAAATTCTTAATCCCTGGCTAAGTGATTTTCAATTTTCTATTTGAGGTGTATTGTAAAATTTGATTTAAAAAAAATTTTTGGGAAGGTTGAATGGTAATATTGAAAAGAAGAATTAACCTTGTGTTGATTTCTGAGTTTCTGACTCTCTTCCTTCAGGTGTGTTACCGAAAATGTAATCAGCATTTGAGTGTTTGAGGCATTGGCAATTCTATCTGTGTCTCACCATCATATATCTATATTTATATTCATACGTGTGATACGATTTTCTGTGTACTGTTCTGTTCTAGTTGCTCTTGTGTGTCCGGACTGTGAGTAACTCTTGTATTGTATTGTATGTATTGTACTATTATTATATAATTCGTTACACTGTGGCTGTGTTGTGTGTGTTAAGCTGCTGTTGCACTGCAATTTCCCTCACGGGATCAATAAAGTATCTATCTATCTGTCTGTCTATCTATCTATCTATTGTTGACCCATTGTTTAGAAAGAAATTAGCAAGCAAGCAAGACCTTAATAAACAGATCGCCTTAAAAATAGGAGAGTCTGGATGAACCAAGGTTCTGACTTTCTGTTGTCATTAAAAATCCCAGGGCGTTTCTTGAAAAGAGTAGGGGTGTAACCCCGGCATCCTGGCCAAATTTCACATTGGCCCTTACGAATCATAGCCTCCTAATAATCTCCATCTATAAATTGGCTTAATCACTCTGTTCTCCTCCCCGCTGGGTCTGTCCTCTAGATGGGGTTTCTCATCTTATCCATGGAACTCTGTAGTTCTGTCTCTGGTCACTTGAGTATTTCGCTGACCAATGCCCCTCTTGCCCAGTTGCTCAAGGATGTTCCGCTCTAGTAAGTCTGTCTAGTAAGTCTGGGTGGTTCCTTTTTTTCCATTTCCTGAGGATGTACCAGGCTGTTCTTCTGGGAACTTTCAACACCCTGCTGTTTTTCTACAGATTCCTCATAATTCTATAATGGAGTTTGATGGAGTCATGGTAGAGCTTCTGCACTGTCAGTTAAGGACCATCTATAATAACTGTTGTATTTCTTCTGAAAACGTGTCAGGGGACTTTTAATGGACTATGTTTTAAATGGCTTTTGATTTAATAGATAACACCTGCTAAATTTTGTCTATGAAATCAGGAATGCATGATTTTGCCTGAAATAAATATTTTTCAATGGTCATTGTTTGTGTTCGCATGCTTTAGCGAATTTTAAAAATGAATTATTTTTTTAAAATACAATAAAATGCTTACAATATTTAAAAAGCTGTGTAAATGCACAAATAACTAAACAAGGTAAAATTAAATAGGGAATAAATTTAAATTACAGGAATATCAATGGTACCCTATGGGGGTAGGTCATTTGCTTACAATGGGTGTTGTTTGTGTTTCATATGTGAATTTTTTGCAGTTAATTTTTTATATGAAAAAAAGGCACAGGAACAATTTTAATTGACTGTATAAATTGTAATAGTAAAAAAAACCTTCAAAAAACAAAGTATATACAGTCTGTATAAATAATATTTTTCTCATATAGTGTGTTTTGGGCTGAAAATACAGTACATTATTTGTGATGTAATGGGCATTTTGCAATAATGAACACTCCATCCACCCTATTAGTCTGTTAAACTAAAGGTTTATTGTTTAAATGTAATTCTATTTGACTTTACAACATAACAAATGTTTAAAAGAAACTAAAGTAAATACTGAAGGCATTGTATTTATGGAGTGTTAAACAGAAGTTTGGGAGGAGGAAAGAACCTTATCATGTCCATTTCTGCCTATTATGCTTCTTGCTGACTAGCTTGGACATGCTTTGTTTTTGTTTCACTCCCTCCAACCCATCATTGTCCTTGCAGCAGCTCTCTGGTTCATCCTTCAATAATGGGGGGTGAGGGCTGTCATTTCTGCTCAGTCAATCAAGTTCCCTCAATGAAGCGTGTGTTTTGAATCATGTATCTTCACCTTTATGAGTCAGAACTACTGAAATGGTTGTGTGTGTGCAGGAGACTTTATCTTTAGAAAGATTAACCTATTTTCTAACCCCTGAATATGCACTCAACCAACATGTGAGAAAGATTCACATTGGAAATGATAGATTACTGCAGTAGTTCTTGAGAGTTGCTGTTTCCTTAAAATATATCTTAAAATACCAACTTCCTGTTTTACAGGAAACACTATTGCACTCTAATACCTTGGGACCTTTTTATGTCTTAAAGAAACACATTTCCAGAAAACAAATCTAGTTCAATTCTTTTTATCTAGTTTAATATTTTTTATTCAAACCAAATTTGATTGTATTGCTAGTTTTATTGAAGCAAATTCATGCTAGGCCTTCATCACTAATCACTGAGTATTGGTTATGTAACAAGAATATTTTCAAGTAGAGATCTAGATGTAATCTTCTGAATGTTGTTTTAAAAATGTAAACCAAATTTTATTCTGGGTGGAACAGCTGGTGGCCTTGTCTTGCAATAGGATTTATAATTTCAGCAATCAAAACTTCAAACAAATATACAAATACAATTCCATGAAATAAGATTTACAGTAGAGGTTGAGGATCTAGGGTCTATTTTATTATACTCCTGACTTCTTGCTTTCTAAAAGGTGTTATCTCTATTTTTCATTTTCAGAGATGGCTATGCTATGCAACAGACAGTTCTTTTGTGTCCAGATATTCCCTAGCCAGCCACTGAGGCTGTCAGTCAAGGCTGAATGTACCAGACTGTTGACTAGACCAGTCACCATGGGAGACAACTTTTAATCTAGTTACCAGATACCCCCACATACTTTCATCCTGAAGACATCATCAAGTTCTCTGGGGTGACTTGCTTTGTAAAAGGTCCAAACCTGATGATAAAAGTGACTGCTCCAGGTGTGGTCTGAACTGTCTACCCTCTTGAGAGAGTCTTATGACTTCAAATGCCATTGCTGCAACAAGACAGGATAATATATAGACTGCAGTTGCTGCAGGGTGTGCTTGGCTGATAGAAGGGAAGATGATCAATGAATACAAAAATTGCAGTTTAGTTCTATTAGTACTAAAGCTCAAGTGCATTAACTGTTTTATTATGCTGCATAGCCTTGACTTCTTTAGGTCTATAGCTATAGCCTATTTCTCTTATAGTGAATTAGAATAGTATTATATATAATACATATACTGTACACTAAATCATTGGTGTTTAAGAGCATATTAAAACAGTTGTTTTATTTATTAATAGTTTTTTTGAACTAGTAATACAAATTTCAAGGGAAATATCCTAAGTGACAGAAATCCCTTTTCCCAGACAGTTACGACAGACTGATAACGTTTTTAAAACACAGTAATATAAATTTATGTGCTAAACCTATGTCCAACCTTTATTCGAAAAGTATACAATACAATTACTTCTGTGGCACCATGGGTTTGATTTATGTAAAATGAACGTGTATGAACAAATCCTATCCATTATGTTTTTTGTTTTGGCCATCAGTGTAACATTATCTTGGGCTATTATCAGGAGGAATCTAAAATAGTTATGCGGTGCATGGACATTAAAAAAATACATGGTGTTGAACTGTTGAACCTGGGGATAAAAGTAAGATATAAATATATATTTTGAAAAAGAATTGAATCACTGAGTTCCCGACATGAGATACCCAGCATCAAAATAAAGAATCTGAGAGATGTCAATTTGGAATGTCTTTTTTGGGCATACTGTCAGAAGGATCTTGTTACAGCACATGCAAAAAGTCCTAAAGAGAAATGCAAGGCCATAAGACACAGATAGTCCATCAAAGTTAAATATACAAAAAGAAAACAACAAACTCATCCATTACTGTGTTCATATATATTTTAATTTGAACAGTGTGCAGACTGCATGGTGTGCTGCTTAATCATTTAGATTTCTCTATTCATACAGTACACACCTAGAATCTAAACCAGCTTTTCATCCAAACCAAGATTTAAAATCTTGCAAATTCATTGTGAATTAACAACAAAACTGTACATACTGTGCTGTGTACAGTGTCCTCCAGATTTATTCATGTGAAACAGGAAGAAAAACACAGAATGAAGATTGGATATGGTGTGTTGTTTAAAACAATACTAAAATTGGTATACTTTAATCGTAACAGCATTGCACAGCGCAAAGTTATGTTTGTCATAAATAATTCAATTCCAGAAGACATGAGTGTAGCATTTATTTATGTTGGAAAGCATTTCTACCTTAGTGCTCTTTGGATGTGCAATGGAAGGCTCTTAAACTACATTGAGCCTTCCAAATGACAGCGGTATAGTTGAATGAAGAAGCCAGGAAGATGATGCAAGTGTCTCGTCACCATGGGCTGTGAGACAAGTGGGAGTTGGCCTTAAACCCCAAAACAGCGGTTGGAAATCTCCAACACAAAATGGCATCTTCGGGGGCGGGAAGTGTCCAAAAAATTCCATCCAACCTCACCTCTGCATGAATGTGGCATTTGTGGTGGGAAGCCTTTCCTGAAAGTAAGCCACAAAAGGTGCAATGTGTGTTCAGATGAATATGAAAATGGAGTTCTTATGACATGCAGAGCAGCATTATGTTTGGTGTATAAAAGGTTCTCACTGCGCAATATGGCATGGTGTCTATGATGTATTTAGGTTGTTTTGTATCCAAAGGTCCTGGAGCCCTTGGTCACATACATGGTTTCCTCCTCAAGGAAGCTTGTCTGAAAATCAGCATTCCAGCATCAAAATCAAAAGTATACATCGAAATGGACAAAGAAGTGGTTAACTGCATTATTGATAAAATCAGTGTTCTTGACAGGCCATCTTAATCTCCAGATCTCAATTCAGTGGAACATCTGTGGTTCAATCTCAAGAAAGGAATCCAAGGATCTGAATAACCTAGAGGGATTCTGCCAAAAGGGAAGAGTCAAAACGTCTTCTTACACACCCCAGAACTTCACTGCACACTACAGGAGGCCTCCTGTTAGTGTATGTCCTGCCAGAGGAAGATTTACAAAATACTAACAGGGGGGAGACACATTATGACCCCTGTGCTGTCTGGACATCATTATTTATGAAAAAAACATACTGTTAAGATCACTGCATAACATTTATTTAGTATAACATGAATCCATTACTTTGTTATAAGATGTTTGGTGCTCCTTCTTCATGGGGGGTATGAATAAATCTTGAACTGTGAATCCACAATTGTAAAAACATTTTAAAAAGTTTGCTGCTTCCTGCTTTTGAGGTTGCAGATATCTGGGGTGCTTTCTGTGTGGAGTTTGTATGTTCTCTCCAGGTTTGTGAGGGTTTTTCCTTGGGTGCTCTAGTTTCCTCCGACAGTCCAAACACAAACCGGCAGATTGATTTGCTTCTGACAAAACTGGTCCTGGTGAGAGTGTGTGTGGTTGTATTTATCCAAGTGTGTCCTGTAATGGACTAACATTCCATCCAGGGGATGTATCTGCCTTGTGCTTTGTTTGCTGGGATAAGCTTCAGCTCCCCCACGATCCTGTTTAGAATAAAGTGGTTAGAAAATGGAAGGATCGATGCACATAGCAACTCATAGGTAAATAGACCATTTGAGAAAACTAATATCTAAAGGAAATTAATCAATGTTTCTTTACACAACATAGGTAGGTCCCTTTTCAGGCCATAAAGGCCCATGGGGAACCGAGGGCAAGACCCACCATTTTTCTTGGCCATTCAACAATGGAGGTGGATGTGATGTGGTTAGCATCACACACCAGCCGGCCTGTTACCTCTGGAGGGATTAACCCCTGGTACTCATTTGGAAAGCAGGCTGAGTGGACCTGGGAGCCATCTGAAAGGAATTAGAGTAAATTTACATTGCTTGCCCCTACCTGGGATTGAACCCAGGACCTTCCAGTCAGGAACTAGACGTTACTCAACATAAATGGCAGATAAATAGATCCACTAAGTTTGTAACATCATTTTCATGCATTTATAGCTTCTTCTATCTTTAATTCCATCAATTGATTCAATTGATCAATTTTCTAAACCGGTTTATCCACAACTGCAAGGGAGTTGGACATAAAAACGCACATACTCACACCATTTTCCCAGAAGCCAGTTAACTGACCAATATGTCTTTGGACTGTGGGAAGAAACTGGAGCAAACATGGTAAGAACATACAAACTCCACACAGATGGAAGTGTCCACAATCTGTCACATTCCACAATTTTAATTTGTAAGCCTCGTTTCATTAAACATTATCTGATGCAAAATGATTAATTTTGTTACACATTATACCATACATTTTTTAAATGGTTTTGACATAACATTTGTAAACAGTATTATATATTCATTTTGTCCTAGAGTAGAAATACTTTATACTACTAAAATAGAAAGGTGCAGTTGTTGGGCTCACCTTGGATTGTGTGGTGTTCTGAATTTGAACTTGAATTACACAAATCCAAAATATAGTGGCACGTCTTGGACTGACGTACACGAAGAATGTGTTTAATATATTCTAGCCCACTGCAGAGGCTGAGCAGGATGAGGAACTGCTGCTTGAATGTTGCTGCTTCCTGTGTTGTAGAAATGCACTACAGAAGAAATAAAAAAACGTTCAGAAAGGAAATTATGTGCAAGCAGCTGAATTCACGGCAATTAAATCAGTGGGTGTATATAGTCTGTGGTTAAGACATTTCGTTTGATTAGGCACTAACACATTAAAGCTGTTAGGCATATGTCGCAGAAATATTTGTAATGTCACATACAAGGAAATCTACAGTTTTTTCCCCCAATAGAGGACAATGGTCTCTTCAGTTTATAGACTGCAGTAAAATGGCACTTGTCAGGGATAGCTATTGTAGGCAGCACTGCAATGAAAATGTGGTTTATATTTAAGCAACACCACATTGCATAACTCAGCTGCCTTTCTTCACTTGATCAATCATAGTGTCCAGTATTGAAATAAACCCCTGTTAACTTATGTCTAAGTATAAAGAATGTTCTGTAAGTCTGTGCAAGGACTCATTCTTCACATGCATATAAGATTTGCATGCTAAACAAGGGAGCTCTTTTTTCCCTAGAACATACGCAGTGTTTGCAAGTTTAACTGACTTTGATCATTACTCAGAAAGCTTTACCTAAGCTAATAATAGTTAGTCCAAAATAAGTATAAAACGGTATTTCACACCAGGTGCAAAAACAAAAGTCTTAAATGTGATTTAAAGTAGTAAGTATCCTGTCATTTCTTTCTGTGGTATAAATAAGATCCTGTTTCTGCCCAACGCCACCCAAATGAGTAGAATATAAAATACTTATCCAAACTCATTAAAAGGATGCATAAAGAGTTTTTAATAACATACCATGCTGATTCTAGGTTGTAAATACAAAATCTAGTATAACTGTACTTTATACTACAAATACGCTTCTCACCAATCCTGGACCTGGGGTGCTATCTGCATGCAGTCTGTATGTTCTCCCTGTGTTTTTTGTGGGTTTCTTCCAGGTGCTCTGTTTTCCTCCCACAGTCCAACAACATAGTCGTAGGCTGATTGGTTTCTGGGAAAACTGGTCCTGGGTGTGCCCTGCAAGTCTGTCTGCCCTGTGATGGACTGGTGTATCCCGCCTTGCAACCCATTGCTTGCTTATAGGCTCTGGCTCCCCTATGACCCTGAATAGGAATATGTGGTTAGAAAATGTATTATTAGTATGTACACGTTACAACATTAATAATTATTATATACAATGCCTATAGAAACTCTAACCCCTCCCCCCCGGACTTTTTCACTTTTTATTGTTTTACAGCATGGAACCATGATGTATTTAACTGAGAATTTGTGCCACTCATCAACACAAGGTACTGTTAAAATGTCAAAGTAAAAACAATCCAGACATTTTGCTAAATTCATGAAAAAAAACTAAACAGAAAATAATTGAATGCATAAGTATTCACCCCTTGCTTTGACACACATAAATTACCTCTGAAGTAACCAACTCTCTTCTTCAATTCACATAATTACTTGACTGGAGTCCACCTGTGTGCAGTTGAGGTGTTTCACATGATTTCAGAATAAATTCACCTGTGTCTGGGAGCTTTCCCACTTAGTGCATTTTCAAGGAAACACTACACCATAAAGAACAAGGAACATTCCAAGCAGATCCGAGACAAGGTTCTTGAAAAATACCAGTCAGGGCAAGGATATAAGAAAATTTCCAAGTCAATGAATATACCTCGAAGCACAGTGAAGTCCATCGTCAAAAAGGTGAGAAAATATGGAACAACTGTGAATCTGTCCAGAACTGTCCATCCTCCAAAATTGAGTGTCCGGGCAAGAAGAGATTGGAGAAACTGTACATGAGACAACAACAGCATGCACACTTCATAAATCTGGCTTGTACAGAAGGGTGGCAAGAAGAAAGCCTTTGTTGGGAAAAAAAACTCCTATCACATCTTGGCTAGAGTTTGCCAAAAGGCATGTGAGAGACTCAACAATTTAGAGGAAGATTCTTTGGTCTGATGATACCAAAATTGAACTTTGTTCGGCACAAACCTAACATGGCATATCACACTGAGCACACCATCTCTACAATGAAGCATGGTGTTGGCAGTATCATGCTTTGGGGATGCTTCTCTGTGGCAGGGACCGGAAAACTCATATAGAAGGAAAAATAGAGCCAAGTACAGAAAAATCCTGGAGGAAAACGTGCTACAATCCGCAAGAGCACAAGAACAGGCCAATGACCTGAAACATACAACAAAAACCACACTGGAGTGGTTTAAAATCAAAAAGGTTAATGTCCTGGAGTGGCCAAGTCAATCCAATTGAGGATCTGTGGAATGACTTAAAATTGCTGTTCACCAATGGTCCCCATTCAAGCTGATGGAGCTTGAGCAATTTTGCCAAGAAGAATGGGCAAAACTTCCAGTATCAAGATGTGTAATGCTGATAGAGACTTACCCAAAGAGACTCACAGCTGTAAATGTTGCCAAAGGTGGTCTTACCAAGTATTTCCTCTGGGCGGGAATACTTTTGCATTAAATTATTTTTGGTTTTTAATCTTTCATTTAGTAAAATGTCTGGAATGTTTTTAATTTGACATTATAGAGTACTTTGTGTTGATGAATGGCAAAAAAATCTCAGTTAAATACATCATAGTTCCATGCTGTAACACAAAATGTGAAAAAGTCCAAGGGGGGTGTAGACTTTCTATAGGCACTGTACATTGTATGTAATGAGGTCTTGCAGCATAATATCAGGTGTGGTCAGTTAACTTATAAAGCTGTAAAAGTATTAGCAGCAGCAGATATGTACTGTATATCAGAACTGACAGTCTTGAGGACCAGCAGTATAGCTGACAAGATGGGACAGCTCAAATTTTAGCTTTGTGTGCATCTACAGAAATGGAATCCAATACATTAATGTCTTAACTATGCTTCACGTTTCTCAGGTCAGATAACACTTCAAATGCAATGAAAATACTGGTCTGTACAAAAGGCAAAGAACCAAAAGAGCGAGCAGACATTCTGACTGTTACCTAAGCCATTATGCTCTTAAATCCATAGTGAAGTACACACTTAAAAATGTATAACACTGTACCTTGCAATTATCTAAGGAAAATACCCAAAATACACAATAAAACAAATGGTACTTATCCTCTTTGGGTGATGTTAATATACACTAGAATGTGGTGAATTAACAACTGGTTTTCTTAATAGACTTGCATTTTGTTTTCTTTGGAAATTAGTTAGCTGCTGCACTAATTAATCAAAAACATCAAATAAATGCAAATTCCATCCTGTACAAAAGTGGTAGAGGACTAAAAATGTTTATAACATGGGAGTGTGTGTTCATATTTGTTAAACATGTGTATGACATTCTAAAACTAGACCAATCGGTGCTCTTAATTTAGTACAAACTGTTCTGTCTGCTCAAAATATTCCATTCACCCCAATGACTTACGTACAGTGATGCCACTAAATTTGCATAACCTCAAATTGAAGTGTACAAAATGTACAGAAGGCACAGCGCAACATTTAAAGTGATTAATAAGTTTTGTGGTGAACATGCTACACATCTTTCTAAATCAATTCACATATGGTTTCACCAAAATGAAACTATAGTGCTTACCAGTCTAGTTAATCATTAAACAAAATATAAATAAAACAGTAAACATTTAGTGGAATGGGGTACACTTCTATTTGCAATTAACCACTTATGTACCCAATGATTATTATTGTTTCTTTGATTTTGACATTTTGAGAAAACTCTTGATAGGTTTAAACAGTTTCTAAACTAAAGGCTCACCAAATCATGATCTTAAGTGCACCGGTTTGACAAATATCTTGTTCTTCTGCCATCAAGATCAGGTAAAAGTGCCGCAATCTCCTTAGGAAAAATTAAAATATCCAAAGAAATATTGTTGCAACAGCCACAGGGGTGTAGTTTGTAGATGAGGAACCAAAGAGGGAAAAAAACTTAAAAGCCACACAGGAGGAAGTGAAATGCATTTTTATATGAAGAAAAATCCAGATGCACAAAGCCTACTCTGTTAAATCAGAAGAAACTGGCCAAGAAAAAAAAAAATCAAAAGAAATGTGAAAAACTTCTTTCACAAAGACAAATTTATGTCCTATTCGTAATACTAGCCCTCAACCATGGTTTTGTTTTTTGCACAATGGCAAAGTAACACCTTTCTGAAAAAAAACAGTTACGTAGCTTGAAGAAAAAACAAAAAATACAACCAAATCGCATTACATCTAGTATAAATTCTTAAAACGTAGGCCTATTTAATACCTTGGCTCTTTAAAATCTCAAGTTTTCCCCAAAAAGAAGTCCTTTTACCGGGGACAAAACCGAAAAGGTCCTTTCCTACAAATATGTCAGCAAAAAAAAAAGTCATACTAATGCAAAATTGTTTTTTGTAGCAATTACTTAGTACCCTACCGAGCTGAATAGGTGCAAAATGAACACTGCAGTCTTAGACTGTACATCAAGCCACACAATGACTTTCCACTGCATGAAAGGTCCTGGATGCTGCAAGCATATCTCAGGTTTCACTAATTACCACAACTGGATGACTCAAGTGGACTCAGCTGTCATTAAAAAGATACAATTTGAATTTTAGAAAGGGAAATTTTGTAACAAAAGAAAAAGATATGCAATGTCAGCTTTGGGTCACCCATTACATCTTATTTCCAGACGGCAGAATAAGGATGACGTCATTGTAGCAGCGCCATTTGCACGTGGCCTTTCAGAAAGTCCTTAATACAGCTCGATGCATTTGAGCAGTTGACTGCTCAGGTGGTGTATGTGGAAATTCTAGCTTCAGTCTGGACAAGATATACAGTACAAGTTTGCATTGCTTTAAGATAATTTTGAGGTTGTCTAAAATACTCATTAGGCTGTACTTTAAAAATACAGCATTAAGTCAGGAACTTTGATGGAACAACATAAGCTTGAAATAGCCCTCACAATTGTGTTAATGATTTCTGTTGGTAACTTTTGGAACAGGTCAAATTGCAGTTACATTTTTTGGCCATAACTGAGTAAGGAAGAGCTGAAACCCAGAAAAAGACAGATTATGTCTCTGGTGTCTGATTTCTATATTTATGACCAAGGCACTTCTTTGTTACCAAATACCATGGATACAAGACAAAAATATCTAGAACATAGAATGTAAAAACTAAAGTGATTAGAATTCAACAGCAGCACACAATTTTAAAATCAAAGTGTTTAATTCCAGATATTCATGACAGTAAAATCTGTGACAGGTTGGTGAAAAGCAAAACAGCAGAGATTTTTTATAACACTGAAGACAAAATTAAAACTTTTCTGAAATAAATTCTTTAGCTCTCCACACATTGTATGACTGACTGTCTGATGTTATGTATTGTCATAATAGATATTCCATGTCAACAAAAAGCTTCTTTTGAAACCATTAAGTTTCGAGAGGTCTGTTAATAAAATGTAACAGTATAAAGTATTAAAGGTAAACTCCATGGACAAGAAAAATTTCAGTATTATTAGTTTGGCTAAACAAAAAAGAAACCATGTGTTGGATGAAAATGATCAAAATGCTATCAATAATAACATTGCAGTGATATTTTTGTTTAAAATTTGGCTGACGCTTTTATCCAAGCAACATACATGTGCACCCATTTCCAGAGCTAGGAATTTCTCCTGACACAACTGGAGAGAAATACCTTTCTCAAGGTACAACAGCAGTGTCCCTTCCAGTTTAACCCACAACCTTCCAGTTATGGGTCCAATGTCCTAACCACTGCTCTACACTGAGGATGCAATGGAAAACCATATGTTGGCAGCTACATAAACTTTTGGTACTTTTTCTCCAAACAGAACTAATTTGAATAAGCATAGCATGGAACTGAACAACAAATTTCAGGAATAAAGTATTTCTTTCCATCCATGTAAACACTCTTAAGGGATTTTCTGATACAGAAAAAATACTATGTGAACTAGGAATGAGAAAGCAACATTTAATCTACTAAATAATCATTTACATTTGCTAAATTCCAACACACCATGTTTTTTTGAGTCCAAACCTTAAAAAAAATGCTTCGGTTGACAGGTCATACAGTACATGAAAACTAGGCAGCTTGTCACATCAGACAAACATCTAATTAGAATATTCCATTTTATCTTTTCCCATCCGCAGCAGTGCGGAATATACTATAATTTTAAAACTGAATCACTGAGAATCATTTGGGGCGGCTCTTTGAAACAAAATTTATATTTAATGGACTGAAGCAGCTTTCAAAAACTCATTAGGCTCTGCCTAAGAGAACACAACTTTGAAATAAAAACAAAAAAAATACTTAAGCTTTACTCTGGACTACAGATCCATTCTCAAATATTGTAATTTTGCAATTAAGTATTTTTACTTAAAATATTTAAACCAATTACATGTTTTGCCACTGGACACTTATCCCCTTGGATATAGACAACATGGAGGAAAAAAAACTTCAAGCAATAAAAACAAGCTTATATTATTGGTACATGTAAAATAAAACAGCTTTAAGAAAACAAAAGATGATAGCATTGCATAGCAGAAATTAGCATTAAACTGAAAAGGAACTAAACTTAGTTTGGTATTGTAGATTTCATCACTTTTTTGATGCATGTCCTCCTTTAAATATGTACAATATAGTATGATATACTGTGTCCATTTCGTTAAGTCCTGCTTCTCTTCATACTGTATTCCAAACCCCAGCCTACATCAACTCTAATGCTTCCCAAGGAGAACAAAGCTAAGGATCTTGCAAATGAGTGTCTTCTTTTCTGCTGCAATACCTTTGTATGAAAGTCCTTTCCAGAAAGATTTTCAGTTGGGAAAAAGTGCCATCTTGCTACATTATCAGCTCATCCAAGGATTGTTCATGAACACTTAACAAGAGTGTATGGACCAAGTGTACAGGGCAACCCCCAAAACCGACACAGGTCTTTGAACCTGGGTGTTCAGGTCTCACACACATACACAAACGCACACACGCATCCGTGCGCACACACACAAAATAAAAAGCCAAATGCACAAGGGAAAAAGACCTGTACAAAAAAGATGCACCCTAGGGTTTCAGCGTTTGACATTCCAGCTGGTAAAGCTTTGAAAAGAATGTAAACAAGCACCATTAAGAAAAGGCCTCTGTCCTCAGAGCAGGAGATAGTTCAGCAGTCCCCAGCTGATTTGTGCTTCTTCCATAAGCACAAGTGAAAGAAAATTACATTCACAGCTCAACACTGCCCATTGTCTTTCTGCCACTGAAATGTGTACAATGCTCCGTTAAGTCCTGTAGAGCACAAACTGAGCTCCACAACTCCAGAGCTTGATTCTGCAATGCATTTCCTAGAGGCCCTCCTTCCTTCTCAAGTCCCAGATGCTGTACAAAGTGTTCATCGCCTCTGATGTGCATACACAGGGTATGCTAGCGTGACATTCAAAGAGTCATTGTGCTGTACAAGTGATGTGTGCTGGTAGTGCAGAACCAGTTCTTTTAGGGAGTTGTACAAGTTGTAGGGCTCTGCAAATCCATATCCCGTAGGTGTTTTGTTGATGACGCAATGCTTCACTTCCCCATCGACGCTGAAAGCAAAAAGTACCAGAGTGATTAATTTGTATCAACATTGCTTTGTTTCTGATGTACAACACGGCTAGTAAATTTGAAACAAAAACTTGGTCACCAAGCTAAACAAATTTAGAAAATGAAAAGCTTTAAAGGAAATGAGACTTTTAAATTAGCTACACATCAAAACCTAATAGACAGCTACAAATTCATTATAATGAATGCTATTATCTGTGCTGGTGGTTTCTCAATAAGAAGTGGTAGAAAAGGTAAACGGCATATATGACACATACACGACACTGCAGGCAAAGCAGCCTTGCTTGCTGCTGTCCCGAACAAGGAATGTTCCATCCCGCTTCCCGCGGAGCAGGGCCTCCGCCTGGACCCGGTTAATATTTCCCAGCTTCCACGAGCGCTCGTCGTGATGAGGCAGGTCTTCGTCATCTTCCACCATAGAGTATTGGCTGGAAAGAAGAGAGAGAAGGCCTTCAGTGGAGTGGACGTAAAATTCTTACCTTGGGGAAAAAAAACTACGGGTGCACAAAGGGGATACATCTTGAAATACGTGCGCTCAATTCTACTTACTCTTCGGTCGTTTCGTTTTTGATTCCCAGCCACTCGTTTAGTTTCTTCTGTCGAACACCCTTTTGGGTCAACCACCTGAAACACAAGAGAGGATGCATGTCAGTTAGTAATTCAAATAATTTTGTTAGTAACCTTTGAAAGGGACATGACAGAGGAAAAGGGACTAGATAAGGTATATGCAGAGATTTTTCTTACATCAGATATTGGTCTCTGGTCTTTCTGAGTTGGATGAGGTCTGGTTTGATGCTGTTCATCCTCTTGTCAATCTCCCGGTAGTCAGCCGCTTGCTTCTTCAAGTCCTCCTCCAGGCGCCGCTTGCTGTCGACTATCTCACTGATGCGAGACTTCAGCTTCTCATAGTTCACCATGATCCTGGGAGGCAGAGCAAGAGGTCTGTGTTAAAAGTCTGACTCTGTTTATTACTCAAACAGGATGTAAACAAGTATACTTTCTACCCCCTTTGCAAATGGCTCATCTTGGAAATATTGCATCCACCATTCAAGGAAACAGATGGGTAAAACTTCTGTTAAGTATCATTAATGGTAAAAATACACTTATCTGATCACGGTTTTTTTATGTGTTAATAATTAACTCCTGCTTAAATGATGAAAAGGTTCTATCAGTTTCAGTTACCTCTGGATTTCTTTCTCATTTCCCTCTCTTCTGAATTTCTCAATGTATTCTTTGCTGTACCGCTCTTGTGTTTGGCACTGCTCTTCAAATATTTTGATCGTTTCATTAAAGGCTTCAATTGCTGTCCTTTTCATTTGAATTTCCTAATAAAAGCAAACAAAAAGATGCCAAACGTTAGAACACTCCACATGATATCCCCAAGACTCAATATGTTTTCCAAAACAACCTAATTCTCCTTCCACAGACTTAAAAAGAACAATTTATTTAAAACATGGAAAACAACCTGTTAACATTTCTGCATATAATGTCAGTGCATGATAAGTTACTGTCCTGCCAATTTACTACAATTTTACTAAAACACATTCTGCTATCTTACCTGTGAAGTTCGTGTATATTCTTCATAAAGTCGATCATATTCTTTATTCTTTTCCTGGTACTGCTGGTGATACTCATGCAGCTTCTTACCAACTGCTTCAACGTTGTCTTCTTTCACCACCTGATCCTGTACAACAGAGAGAAAGGGAATGCTGTCAATATACCACTAATGGGTTACAAATGTCTGCACATACAGAATGAGATTCATACCATATTATTTACTAATCTAACAGGGAATAAAACATTGTTTTAAAGCTATTTGAACATGCTTCTGTTTTTTTTAGGTCATGCTGCTTTTCAACTAGCAATTATTTAAGTTACTGGAACCCAAATACCACTGAAGCTATAAATATAATTTTGGTAACCACTCAGAAACCTGTTAATAATTGAATAAACAATTATTTTGTGAATATTTTCAGTAGGCTACTGTGGGCTTGCCCCTTTTTACACAACTAAAAGATTGTATCTACCAAGTGAAACGTAGACATTTACCTGCTGGTGTTTAGACACTGGATAAAGCAGTTTCACATCGAGTTTGGGATTGTACTGGGCCAACGACTCATGGCGGTAGTGGTTTATAAGCTCGACCACAGAGTTGAAAGTCAGGGGATCAGAGAAACCATACTTCCCATCCCGATGGAAGATTTTAATAAGCTTGTTGTTGCCTCCTTTCCTGTAAATTAAGTGAAAGCGACCATTAGATTTTTTTCAGAACTTACAAATAACCTTTTGCATTTGTGATTGATAAACAACAATTACCTCAATGTCAGTGTGTAGTCTCCATGCATTTTCGTAGAGGCATCTCGCACCAAAAACGTACCATCAGCTGTATCTCTCAGCTTTTCATTGACTTCCTCCCTGTAATGTTAATAAATAACATCAGGACATTCTTTAAGTCAACATATGCTGTTCAAAACTGATAAGAACAAATCTAAACATAACTTAAACCCACCAAATCGAATGTGTATGCTAACCTTTTGTGTAGGACAATTAATTCCTTCTGCTAAGCTAACATGCCAAGATAGCACTAATTCACTTTTAATGATTTACCCACAAGAGCTCATACAACAGACTGAAACTTGGGTCCTTAAGAGCTTAGAAAAAACATTCTATAAGATCTATCCCTATAACGGTTTATTAAATAGTTCAACATTCTATTTATAGGTTTAGCTATGACTATATCCCTTAAGCTTAAAGCTCAAATCTGCTATTTACAGCAATCTGGCTTGGCAAGGTATAAGTACAAATTTAGTATTCCTTGAAATGCATTTAATTAAGCTAGAAAGGAAAAAAGTTAAAAAAGAAGAGGCATTTCTGCAATATAGTTTGATTCAACTTGAGCACATTAAGCCCATGACTCCTGTCTCATTAAAACATGCATTTAATTCATTGTTAGACATAAAAATATTCTACATTTTTATCATGAAGTCCAATGAATATTTCTCTAGTGATTCATTAGTTTTCATTTAGGTCCCTGCATTCTCAGAGTGGCATAGCCCTGGCAAGAACACTGTAAAAAGACAAAACTTTTTTTGTTCTGGATTTCTTTCATCACCTTGCCAATTCACATTACTTCCTCACTCTGCTTATTACCTTTTCTGTCCTTTTGGATCTTTTCCTAATTTTTGGGAAGCCTGCTAGTAAAAAGCAGCAGCAGATGTGGCTCAGATCTCCAATTCAAAGAGAAACAGGAAAACTGGATTCAGCATAAAACTGCAATTTAGGCTGACTTACCTTGAAATATCTCCCCAGTACCATTCAGCGTCTTGTAGAGACATGTTGTTGTTCATACCGTTGTTTGTGACAGGGGCAGGCTTCGGCGGTTTTGGAGGCAGTGCTGTTTGGAAGACAAAAAGAAGAAAAATGTCTTAAATTAAGATACCCCCTGAAATTTTAATGGATTCCACTTTCTAAAACACTGCGTAAAAAGTTCTGCTTAAAAAGAGGCCTCAAGCTCACAAAGTGTTACTGAAAGTGGATTTAATAGAGGACATAACGCATTAAAATGGTTTAGAAATTATCTGTCACTCTTGCAATGCATGGTATTTCCTCAGTGGCATCATGCACTTAACAAAGGTGATGCGACAATAGCCGTAGATGCAAGGTTTGTGGAAAAGTGCAAGGGCTTGATTTTACAGAAATAGAAAGCAGCATGAATTTAATGCTTCTGTCCACAAAAGAGATACCCATCTTCAAGCAATTGCATGAAATAAAACATCTGCAGCAGTTTCAAAGACTCCCCCCCCCCACCCATCTCCAGCCAGCTTCTTTCCACTTGATTTAATCAGTTTGAAAGAATGTTACTGCTCTCCAATAGTGAAACAGCTATAAAAACAGTAAGTCAGAAGAAATTATTGTGTTTCATTGAATAAAAAATGTGACCACTCTTTCACTATCTTGGATCCGGAGAGCAATGCAGCCAGCAAACATTCCAAGGAATACATCTGCTGCCCAATTAAAACAAACTGCTTATCTCCACCATTCTGCAGGACAATTTGCACAAAACTGCAAATCTGTTTAGTAGAAATCTCACATAAGGTAATTTTCAGCTAAGCATCCAAAAATGAATTGCTCTGTGCCACAGCAGATACAGCACTGCTCCTAACTGGTTCACTGGAATGTGCTAGAACCGGATCAGATCATGAAAGATGAAAAAAAGTATTTTATTAACACAGGTTTATTTTTAAAAATTTTGTACAGCATATTCATATGGCAGGTCAAAACTAATTAAATATAAAATGACTGAATTAGCACGCCATTAGCAAGCCAAATCTTTTTGAACACAGGAGGAAATAATAATCCGAAGGTATTTTTAACCCAGTAATCTCTTCTCCTTTGTCTGAAATCATTCTGCCTTGTTGCAAGGGGTCACTGGTGCAGTACACACCTACCAGTGGTTAAATACAACAATTCAAAGCTTAGGCACACAATATCAAAATGCTACAATGTACACAAACATTCAAACACTTGTACATATGCTACTACACCACCTAAACCAAGAAGCAATAATAATTTTAAGACTTTCAAAAACAATAAAAACAAGATACAGATTGGGGTTAACAAAAAAACTTTTCCTAAAAGGTATTTTAACAGCCTATAGTTTAAGATAAATTGCTTCAGTTCCAAGAGGGAACAAAGAGTTGCCAGGAAAGGCATTCTTTAACACTGCAGTGTTACCTGGAGGATCCATTTCTATGTAAAACAAGAGCTCTGTCCCATAACTCAGCTCAGATCGTGGACATTCTATTTCAAAATCTTCCATATTCCAAACCGTGTTGTACATTGGTATCAAAAGTATCACCAGTCAGGTACAGTAACAAGAAAAGAATCACTGTTTCTTTGTAATGGTGTCTTGGAATTCATTTTAAAAGCTATAGACCTCTGCACTGTAATACATTACATCACATACCTCAGCCAATAGAGCCGGAGGATTGTCACCAGACCACTCCCGTTTCACTGCCTGCTGCATCTTTCATTTCCTCTGAACAATGATGTCATTTAAAAAGCACACTACTTTTTTTTTCCAGCCTTTTTAAGAGCCTTATGTAAAACTGCATGCAAAGCAAAGCACCGGAGGCAGAACCCAAGAATGTGGCACGGTGGCCATCCTGCATGCATATACAAATAACCGCTGAAACGTTTCTTCAGAGAGGAGGGAGAAAGAACACGTCGGCCCAGCTTTAGCCTCTCTCTCCCTCTGCCTGTGACTGCATGCTGCTTCTCTCAGTCCCACTGCTGGCACGCGGACAAAAGCTGATGTGCCGCAGCACGTAGGCTTCTACGTCTAATGGGCAGCCAGGTCAGTTCTAGGCTTTAAAATACTACTGTAATCCTTGAGCGTGACAGTTTTCAAATCCAGTGGACCAGTACAAAGAAGTCGAGTGCACAAAAATAGCTCACTGTACATTCAAAAATTCACAGAGAGAGCGAAAGGAACATTTAATCTGTTCTTTTACCTCGCCAAAACACTCACATGTAATGGTGGAAACCTTTATTCAGTCAGAAATGCTTGCATTTCTTACAACATCCATCAACAGCACAAGCATATAGTTAACACTACTTACTGTTACACTGCAAACATTAATGACATGTTAAAGAACAGGCTGATCAATATATACATGCACTGCATGGGGAAATGTATTGCCAGCTTGTTTTTTATTCCTTCCACTCTATCATTTAAAAGACCACCTAATCAGAACATGTAAAATTATTTTAGAAGTATCCTCAATGTTGAAGTTTAGAATATTGATAAGTATTCTTATCAAACGAGGTAAAACTCACATATTTAGTCACTTCCGCCTTATAAGGACCTCCCCAGAAAAGACTTAATTAAAAAAAAATTAGCTGTGTAGACACATTATATAACATTTTAAAGAAAATTATTTTGTACTAAAAAAAATAAACAGACGTCTTAATTCTGCAAAAAAAAAACAGAGAGCCTTCTAAAAATCATAAAATCTGAAGAGATCAGTGGGTCACGACCAACATACATAATTCATTAAGTGGGAAAATATCCCATACCATATTGGAAAACATGTAGGTTCTATATATTCAAATTGTAATGTTGACCGTATGCTGATTACAACATTCTATAGTCATGTTCACCAAATGAAAAATATATACACCACAAGCACTGTAGGTACACAAACATCTGTTGGTATAATACTTAAAAACTGGAAAATTTATACACTGTAACAAAAAAAGTATGGTAGTTAACAGTAAGCATCAGGAACCATGCCCCCCCTCAATATAACAAGGTACGTAAAGAATTTGAAATCCCTTAAGGGTATTTCAAAAAGGCTATTCCAAGACAGATCCACCGGCAGGATCTATAACTAAAACCAGGCTAGCTTGCTCTAACGCGGAAGACAACTGACAAGTTATTTTCTGATCGTATTGCAATATCTATGTAATTAAACAAGGAAAAACTCTTAAAACCTTTACTCAGAATGAACACGCATACTTACTTTGCAAGTTATGCATCTTTTGAGGTTATTTTCACAAAAATGTCAAAGGATCAATACCACTTTTCTGTTCTGAAGAAAGGCATAATCACTCCCCAAAAAGTGTCAAGCAATGAAAAGTAGATCCAAGTGCTATTTCCCCAGGTTTGCTGAAGAAATCTGGAACAGGGTTCTGTAGTTCTTAATAGGCAACCAAAGTGCTTCTAATTAAAACACTATAATCCAGTAACACAGCAGGTGCTACGTGCAAGAGACTGCAGGTCCTGCTCCTTGAGTTATGATATAAACCTTCAAAACTGGCTGCGTGGAGGCTTCCGAAGACTGGTCTGAAAGTTAATGATTACAAGTGTGAACCTGGTGTCAGCCCAGAGTGTACAGAGAAGGACTTGCACGTCTCCTAACTGTTGATAGAGATCTCTGTCTTATGATTAACTCACACAGGTTCAAATATTTGCTGAGCAGGGGATTTTAAGTGGGGGAGGTAGGCGCTAGCAGGGGGAGGGAATCAAAGTGTGTTAAAGTGAAAGCTGTCATCACCTCACAAGTTTTCACTGTAGAAAAGACTTTCGGATTGCGACCCAATAAAAGCGTAAGGGTACGTTCTAAAAATAGCCAGCAAATGAGCAAGTAGTGCAATCCGCACACACATATGGTGATTTATATATACACTCAAATACATGTTTAAAACATGAACGCACACCCTGTAAAAGGTGCATATATCAGATTAAGAAAGTTCTTAAAAGTCAAACAAATCGCCTTTACTCGGCACGAACAGGAAAGAGCCTGGCTACTTCAGCAAAAAAAAAATGAATCAAAGCTTTCCTTGTTAAGTTCTTCCACCTCTCCTAGATGCCTAACACAGTAAAGAGCTCTTCATGTCCTGTCTCCCTTTCCCAGATCAGAGTACAGGTGCGGGTCAGTAACAGCTGAGTGCAGTTAATGCCAGAAAACGTTATAAATAGGCCCTAACAGGTAATAAAATGCTTAAACACCAACAGACCCTGCAGTTCATACAGAGAGTCCTCTTTATGTTTCAAAAGCTCCCTGAATTTTGCAGTGTAGCTCTAACTGGAAAAAAAACTGGAGCTGGTCCTCGTTTTGCTACATAGAAATGACATTTTGTATTTGAAGCACTGTAACAGTACAGTACATTCAAATTAAATAAAACTTAAAGGAACAGCAGATTAGCAGATTAGCCATGTGTTACGATACATTTATAATAATAATAATTAATAATTGTTTATACTTATATAGTGCTTTTCTGGACACTCCACTCAAAGTGCTCCCCTCCACCACCACCAATGTGCAGCATCCACCTAGATGATGCGACGGCAGCCATAGTGCGCCGAGAGTTAATGAAGCCAATTCATAGATGGGGACTATTAGGAGGCCATGATTGGTAAGGGCCAATGGGAAATTTGGACAGGACGCCGGGGTTACATCCCTACTCTTTTCGAGAAACACCCTGGGATTTTTAACGACCACAGAGAGTCAGGACCTCGGTTTTATATCTCATCCGAAGGACGGCACCTGTTTACAGTATAGTGTCCCCATCACTATACTGGGGCATTAGGACCCACATGGACCACAGGGTGAGCGCCCCCTGCTGGCCCCACTAACACCTCTTCCAGCAGCAACCTTAGTACCCATCCATGTACTGACCAGGCTCACACCTGCTTAGCTTCAGTGGGTTGCCAGTTGTGAGTTGCAGGGTGATATGGCTTTATATTTCTTTAAATGCTTAGCTGTAATTATACTAATTAAATTAACATTTATTGGGCTTTTTATAGGTTCTGGACTTGAGGTTCATTTTATGTCAATAACATTCAGATTCTGAATTCAAAAGCAAAACCTGTTTCAAAGACTCAATAGATTTACCAAAGAACAATCACTGAAACCATTAAACAGTACAAATACCTTCAATTTTCATTTATTGGATGTAGTATTACTAGAATTAAAGTCAAAGCAGACACAATCTTGGGTATAATACAAGGCTTTGCTAGAGTATATAACTTGGATAACTGCAGCTACATAAGACTGGGAGAAAAGAATACTGTTACACAGCTACAACAAATTCCCATAAAACAAAAGTAACTTCTCAGACAAATGAAACATGCAAAAACAGAGCAGATAAAAGACAAATCCAATCAAATCATTTTACTGCCATTATCTTCATGTAAAATTACCCATTACAAACTTAAGAAAAAACTTAATAACAGAAATCTGTACCTTTTATCACTCTTCTATATGACACTTCTATATATTTTGATTCGAAATGTAAAGGTAAATGTAAAGATAATTTGGTTTATATGGGAAAACTTAAGTAAAAGTAATTTGTTACGTACCTTGAGACATAAATCTATTAATCTTACACAGGAAACTCACTCTAACCACAGATTCAAGCCAGGTTTCCTGTATAACTAAAACTTTTTCTCATGATTGGCAACCACTGACATTTCCTGTTAACAGGAAGGTTTTATATATAATATCCCAATTTAAAGAAAATTTAAACATTGCCTTTATATAAAATAAAATTTGAGTGATCTAGTAGATAACCTGAAATGTGTTTAAGAACTGAAGAATTTAAAAATACCTAAGATATAAAAAATTAATATAAACAACCACTGTGAGTGCAAGATAAAACATTAGCAGTTTGATTTGTGATTTTGCTAATAGTTGATGTTACTAAAATGTTGTTAATTGGGGGACCAACAATAAAAACAAATACAAAAAGAAAGTCAAAAGGGGAGGAAACATCAAACCGAACTGAAAGCCTAAATTTAAACGACCAAAAGCCAATAACTGGCAAATTACAAAAATGCAAAGCATAAGCAAAAAGCTAAGTGAAAATGTAAAACACAACATTTCACAGGAGTTTCTCTGAAAGAAACTATAAGCAGAACAACTCACAAATAATACGGCTTCTTATAGAGTCTCTCATAAACAGAGCCATGACTGAATCTAAAAAAGCATCCACACTCAAGTCTTTGCACTTAGATCAGGAAAGTACCAGAGAAACCCGAATGACAGTGCAAGAGAACAGATTACATATCATCTACTCTGTTTAACATAGCAATTAAAATAATTGAAATACTCATTTTCAGCTTTTGGTAAATACTGCTTGCACTTGCCAGCAGATTTTTAATTCTTTTCCATCTTCCAACATCAAGACAACTGAACAAACAAATGATATTTTGGCCACACTGGCAAAAACACAAGATCCAAGAAAGCTAAGACACAACAGCTTTCACAATCACTTCACAAAAGCAAGCACGCTCCTCCTAGCAAGCAAGATGGACACAGTTGTCCTGTAATGTGTACAATTTCTGGCTTTACATAAAGTTGTTTCATTCATTTCAGAGTGTACTGTAGCTGGGTTGAAAAATGGCGCTGCCTTCAATGCAGTGAAGCTGCAGCAGCAGAATTATCCAGACCCTGCTGCTCATAAAGCTACTAAGAACAGTGCCCCCTTTTGGAATCTGCAGATACAGAAGTTTACTTGATGTATAAACACAAAAACAAAACTGTCTCTTTTTAGGAGACTCATTTAAAATGATCTCAAGGGTCTATACATTTTTCTTTTCCTCTGTGTAATACGGAAACCTCACGCAACCATTCAAAAGAAAAAACAGACCACTCTGAAAAGAAAAATCCAAATAGCATATAAAACAAGCAATAGAACAAGTAGTTCTAAGCCAGTAATCGAATACTGCTTTGTAAATATGATTTTCATTTTCAACTTACCTGGAGCAGCCTGACTTTCATTCCATTCACTGGTGATAAAGACTTCTATGATCCTTATGTGGTATTCTGGGCTAGCATCACAGCTATTAAAAAGGCAAATTTGACAAAGATTATATAAATAACAGATAATCTTGGCATTGGAAAGAAAAACTGCAGCAGGATTAACTAATCGTTAAAGCCAAATAAATAAAACTGCCCTGTAAATCTTAATATATTTTCAGACACTTAATTGATGTGTAGCAAAGTTTTATTAACTGAACTGTTACTGACATATGAACATATACGGCACCAGCAAAACAGATATAAACTAAACACTGCCCAAAACCCTCGTAAGAGACCACTTTTAAAAGCAAACAACTTACCTTGCTGCTTGGTGTCTGAAAACCAGAGGGCTAAAAACGTCTCCAAGAACTCTTGCACTAAGCAGATTTTTGCCAGTATTTTGACAAACTCTGCAGAAATGCTTGATCAGATACTGAAGTGTGAGCCAATACTGATGAGGCACATTAGGTGACTGGACAATTCTCCTCAGCAACAGAGCACACTCTTCTGGGTTATGCACCTCTGCAAGTAGTGATAAAGAGAGAGGTCACTGTAGATATCACTTCCATGACATGCAAGTCTTAAGTGTTCTCTTGCAAGGAAAAAAAATCTTCAATAATGACGTAACTAAAATGCATCATTGCCTTGCAAAGATATAGACTTGTAAACTTACTTTTGCTCGAACAAAATGACTGCTTGCGCCAGATGGAAAATTGTGCATGTTATTGGTTTTAACCACAAGATACACAAAAGGTGATTCTATAGGTCTATGCTCAGTGTACACTCGCAAATGATTGGACAGTTTCAGATGTTGTAGATAGATTTCAAACACCCTCATGCTCTTTTTAGTTGCCATTAACCACAGTATCCTGTTTCTGACCATGTGACAGGTTAACAAGTCTGAACACTTGCAAGAAAAGTCTGTTCTTTTTCATTTTATAAGCCAGAGAGCATGAACAGGGTTTACATACACGGATATACAAACCACAGTCACATGTTTTGGTGCAACCTGTTTAGGACACAATGTACATGAGCTTCACACAGATAAGGCTGAGGGATTTATTCCACATGCTTTTTTTGGATAATGTTTAACTATAATCCTCACTACAGATGAAATGATTGTCTATGTGTTTTGTCATCTGCTGGAAAGTTAAAGTAATACATTGTTGTAAAAATAGCCAATTTTAAATTAAGAAATCTGTCACAAAAAGCGATCAAATTAACATTTCTTCATGTCTGACTCTCCTCACTGATAATTATAGACCAGATTTGAACTTAAATGATTTAATACATTTATTCACTTTCAGAAATCATACTAATTATTATACATATACACATTGTTCATTATGCAATAAACAGAAACCATTGTACTTCCTAAAAGTATGGATGCAGGTATTCCCTAAAGTAAATGTGTTGGCAACAGCCCTGGCTGCTATAAGTTTAGTTACATAATGCTTTAAGGTTGTAGTATCAATTGCTGGCTCACAGCAGCAACCTGCTGAATTTAGAAACAACTTAAGATTTCGCAAAGTTACAGGTACCCCGTGGCTCTACCAACTGAAGGCTGAAGCAGAAGTTTTAGTTGTACTTACAATCCTACTACTTCACCATCTTACCTTGGGCTACATGTACCATTTCACTGTAAACAGAGACTGGTACAACAGGATGGGGCAGATCCTGAAGGTACCTTCGGAGGCCATCACACAAGGTCTGCAGGTCAAACTGATCCAAGTCTACGGCACAAGGATCTGCTGGAACAACAGGTATGTCAACTAATTAGCTTTTTCATGACATTTTGATTACTCACTCAGTCTTGTTCAAAGAATAGTTCCACTTTGATGCACATTCCCCCATTTAACCTGCTTGCCCATCTATTACATTTAACATATGCAAACACAAACTACCCGCTATGTATCAATCAAAACTAGAGAGGAAAGGTGCTTTTAAGTCTTCCAGCAAGCTGGTCATTAAGACTGCAGAAAACAAATTGCTCATAAGAACATAAGGTTAAAGACGAGGTGGCCAACTGGTCCATCTAGTCTGTTTTGCAATCTCATTTTACAGAACTCATTTTATCAGATTTTCTGGTTAAATGCATTTTACGGAACAGTAAAATAAGAATACTGACGGGGTTTGTCATATCATCTAGGAGATGCTACAGGTTTCCTTCCATTCTTAAACAGCTTATAAACAATTTACAGGCGCTTTTCAAGAAACTCAGTCTTGGAATATAAAATACTGGAAAGGAATATTCAAGTCCATTGTCACGCAACACCTATGCTGTTGCTGGCACTAATTTATAATACATTAATAGGTCACAAATGCACAAAATAAACATATTCCCCAGTCAGCACAGACCATGCAAGAATCTCTGTGTAAGTCTACATTTAACACTTCATCATGACCACAACACACTTGAAACAGCTTTTGTTTCAGGCAATACTTTTAAAATACCTGAGGTGTAAAACAGTCTGGAATCTGGATTCAGGCATATTTAACAAAAAATATTTATATGAAAACAACCCTGTTTCATATTGCACCTTATCTGCCTAGCTTTCTGAAACATACACTAAGAACAAGAGCACATGTGATAAGAGTAAGCACCTCCATTTTTTAAAGTAGCTGACCTTTTGCTTTATTGACCTTCATTAAGAAATAACAGAAGGTAAGAGATGTAATCTAAAAGAAACATGCTATAAGGAGTTGAACATTAGGCTTAGTACATTTCACAATAATAAAGTTTATCCAACACATTTAAAAGCAGTTATTTCAAAGTACTTTACACCACTTAAAAAGAACATAGCGTCCTGATATAAAAACAGATAAAAGATCAGCTACTGTGGAGCGATATCATGTAGAGCATTTTAACATTAAACCAGTGCGAGGACACTAAAGTAGGAGTGATGTGATCACTTGCGTTTGATTTGTCAGGATTCTGAACATATCGCAACATAAGTGTAGTTTTAGAGACTGTTACAATAACCAAACCATGAAAAAACGAACATGTGAATCCACATTAATATTACAGAAATAACAGGGATGGAGCCTGGAAATATTTGTAGACCAAAACGAAAAATTATATTTCTACAATAATCAGAAACTAAGGAAAAAAAACTCAATCCCAGGTTGAATGTATTTTTAAAATAAAAGAACAGTTAAAGGATAAAATACTACTGGTTTTATGTATGAAATGTTTTTCATCAAGAAAGTTATAAAGGGCTTGTGTTTCAAAAAGTGGCAAAGAGAAATATGAGTGCAACATAACACCATCCTCTGGTGAAACTTGGTATTAGCCCACATATACTGTAGCCAAAAAGTGGCAGAACATCTATATTTCAAGTTTTAAACTTAAATTAAAAATGCTAATTTATCCAAAATACACACCATACTACAAGTCTCAGAATAATAACATGCAAGAGAAAGTTTATAAACTTACATAAATTTGCCATTAAAGTTTTTTTATGGCAATACTTACCACTTTCAAAGCATTGCCTGATTTCAAGTCCACTACATGAGCCAAAGTTTCTATAAAGGGTGGGACAATCCAAACCTGCAGAAGACAACATGCAGAAGAAACATGTTGGATTGACTACTAAGCATGAATCTTCTTAGATTTGTCCTTTTATTACAAACACAAGCACAGGCTTTTAAAGAACAAGTGCCAAAAAATATACCAAAACAGTATAGGATTACCCTTTAATTTAGAACTATACAGGTAGATAGGCCAATCATTATCTTGGCCTATGTACCTGTAAATCAGTATGTCTTCGGACTGTGAGAGGAAATCCGTGCAGATATGGGGAGACCCCAAGGAGGTGATCCCCAAGAAATGAACCCAGGGACCCAGCACTGCGAGGCAGAAATGCTAACTATATGCCACCGTGCTGCAGTTTAATTTTAATTATAGTAATTTGACCATTATAATAATCTGTTATTAGAATGCCTGTAAGCTAAAAATGGCTGTCGTTGAGTATTTTTACAAAAGCTCAGCAAAGAAAACCATCAGGAAGCCAACAGCAATGTCTCCTCATTACCATCAGACCTCTTACCTTTCCTCTCAATGGCTTCCACTAATTTCACCAGAATGGGTGGAGCTAATTCAGGTGGGGAAAACTGCTCGGTGAGATCCAACAGTGCTGAAAATGGAAAGAAAAGGGAAAAAAAAGACTTCATGGGCCAAGGATCACGGGATGCAATGTGATCAATTAATATTTAATCAGAAAACAAACTCCCCCTGTTGGCTTTTGAGCCTATGTCAACAGCATTTGTACTGTCTGCTGTTTAGGGCAGAGTCAAGAGAACTTGTCAAGACTGTGCCCTGTCATAATTCTAGCATCTACTCACATTTAGCTTTGAGGTCACATTGTATACACCCTCTGAAAACTGCACAACAAAATATTCCCACAAGACAAGAATAGTTATGAAACAAAATTAGAATCAACAATATACCTAAATATTTTTTTAAAGACAGCACACATTTATCACACAACAGAAGTACTGCATTATTAGATGGATTTTGATTTCACATTCATTCTGTGTTCTATTAAACACATTTTTTGGGGGTAACAACTTCAATCAATAATAAATTAACTACAGAGACGAGCTAGTTAACTATTCACAGAAGCAAGGCACCAACCTTCCAAATTAATCTGTATTTGATCGTACAGCTATGAAAACCGACAGTAATTCTGAGCTGTTGCCAGTTTGGAGTTGATACTTGAGATCTAAGCTCTCCAGGTGTGTACACTAAACATCTAAGTCCGGACATGTGCTTCATTTTCCTTGGGAGAGGCATTTAACTGGAGTGTTCTTCAAAGAAAGAAATTGTGGGAGTTAATGTTTGAAATATTAAAGCTATGAATGGTTTCCCTGTTTAAGAGCTGTAAGTACTCCTTTCCTGAGGCCCTACTTAGCCAAGTTTTTGAAAGAAAAAAAGTGACAGCTTTTATTATTTTAAATTAATTTTTTTCCAGTGTTTTTTTTGGAATGACAACATTAGTTAGCAAAGTACTACCATGTGAACCTCATTTGCTTTTTAGTAAAAAAAATACAGCAGTTTAGCCTGATCTGGCAGCGTTTTTCTTCATGTGCCCCCCTGCCCAACCTCAGACTCTGTGTGCACTGCAACAGCCATGGATTGTACTTATTCAAATACACCACAGTGTTCAACACAGTATATTACCGAAACTTACACATAATGTTGTTACTTTATAATTGATCCGTATTCATTTTTCCCCCTAGATTTAACCATTCACAGACTTCAATATAATTTTCCCGTTGGAGGCATAAAGACCATTTCATTACTATAGTTTTACCCCATTCTCCATCTCCCACTTGTCATACAGGCAGAATAGAAACAGAGACTTGATAAATACAAGACTGCTTTAGTAAAAAAAAGCAATACATTGAATGTCTTGAAAAATGTTTTTAAATATCAGATAGAAATGACAATTGCGCCATCTTGTAGCTCTTATCAGTACTGCACTGTATAAAAGCTATCTCAGTTTAAACAGCAGGTTTTTTGTTCTGCACCATCTTACACCAAGATCTGCAGAGATCCATTTTATTGACAGTCCATCTCTTTGTACAGTGCTCAGCTTAAGATTACTTTAGACCTGTCTTATAACAGAAACCTGTTTTGTAAAAGAATATGTTCCAAGATACAACTATTACTTTTATTTCCAGGAATGGGCAGAGAACCATAAAAGGGCAAATGAAACAGTAGTGAAAATTGGAAGAGTATAAAAGCTATCATGTGTATTTTAAAATCACTCTTAATATATTCCAATAGTCCAAGAGCATGATCACAAAATTCTCAGATCTAAAAACTAACAGCATCCAATTCACAAAGCTATTATAACAGGAAAAGTAAAGAACTGTGGAATTATCAAAGAAGTGACACGCTTGCAAATCTCAGAGGTTTAGCCTTTCACACAGTGGGAGGAATTCAACACTCGTGTAATTCTGCCAAAAATCTTCTGCTTCCAAGTTCTAAGAAACTCAATTGACTACTTAGAAAGCTTTTTCTAAACTGTTTCCTGCCTGGTTTTATTTTAAAGGCCTGTCTCTCTCAGAAATATCACTATGAAACTCATTCATCAACTGTACAATTTCAAACAACTGAAAGCCGAACCACTGTTGAAAGGTTTTCCTTCCCTTTTCAAATAACTAAGAAAAAACTGCACTTCTGACCGAGCTAGAATATCATGCCATTTCAATAATCATTAAAATATTTTTTTCATAATTGAAACTATTATAAGTACACTAATAAAATCTAGTGTTTTTTAACAATTAACTTAAGTAAATTGTAAATATTTTGCTCAAGTAAAATGGATGTCTTCTGTACCTTCTCTTAATCAGCAACTGAACCCATTTCCACTTCTATAATTATTTATTTTTCAAATTTTTGTTTTAATTAGAAGAAAAAAAAAAATCACTACTACCAGCATCAGACCAACAAACAAAAAAAAAAAAGATTATTATCCGCACCACAAAAAAAAAAAAAATATCTGTTTTACTATAATGAGCAGGAGTGACCTAAGACATAATATGACTCCTATAAAACACCAAATAAAAATAATAAATGAATTATCTACATCTAGTGTTTTGGCCTTGGGCATCATGATAGCCTTCAACAAGAGTGTCAATCAGAATGCTATTATTCAGAAATTAAGCACTTTTGGGAAAAGTCTTTTAGTGTGTGTTCTTGGAAAAAGCGGGCAGTTCTGTGTTTTAGGGAGCATACATTTCAATTCAGCAGTATTTTGGTGTTTTATTGCTCTATCAGGCTCAGCTACATAAAGTACAGATTTACAATCTCAACGGAAGGAAACTAAAAACATCCAAAGAAATCCCCGACATTAAGAACCAAGACAAACAGTACAATGCTATTTTGGACCGATAAGATGACTGGTTGGTGGAAAACAGAAACACACAAGCATTTATCATTACTGGTCACCTTTTTCTGTAGCTGTAAGGCAGGTCTCAGTCATGCTCTAGCTATGGCACTCTACAGCATTTACCAAGGTCCCATGATGCTAAAAAGCAGAAGCTTGGTAAACTACAAAATGTTTTAATTGGAAATGCAATTGCAAATCTTTTAAATACCTTAAGCACTTGGCATAGAACCCTTCTGGAGAACTGATATACTGTGGTCCCACAAATCCTTAGTTCTTTTGGTGGTGAGGGGGACATTTGACACTTCCAACTGCAAATCATTTTTTTTTTTTACTACACCAGTGACAGGAGGTGGGATGATATTAAATTGCTTCTTGGTAACAGGGGATGACTTGATACATCTGGCACCAGCAGTACTGGATTAGGTGACATACAGAAAATGACAGACACGTTTGGACCTATCAGGTACACAATTTCGCCGAAATACTGTACATGCAACAGGAGATCAAATACACAAAGGGTATCGCTGTGATCACTTGGCCTCAACCTTAAGGCTGGCGCAACTATTAATCCTTTTCATACAGGACAGTCTGACGGTCAAGCCACTCCTTCAACCGCATCAGTTAACATCACATTCTCATCTTACTTTCCATCTGTACACGAGTCCGCACAGATGGCACAAGGGTACGTACAAACATGGCCTTTTTCTTCACATTCTGGAGAAGCTGTCAAACTAAAGCTTTAAAACCAAATAATACACAGATGTGACCTGGTACCAATTTCACCCAAGACAACAATGGCAGGATTTCCTAGCTAACACCACTTCTTGTTATACAATTTATTTCCCATTCAAAGCAAAATGACCATCATTTAGCCTCACTCATGATCATATCGCCTCACGCTTTGGAATAAAAAAGCCATCCAGGTCATTTTAGTGTCATAAGGGAATTGGTTGGCTTCTTCCCACCGGAAGCGCTAGCAAGATTAGAAGAAACTGACCTCGTGGTGCCCTTTATCATGAAAGCCTGAAAGGAAATATTAGCAACTGACAACTTGAGCAATTTCATTTTTTTTTTAAAATCTCCCGATCCCTGCTTAGTAACTGCCAGTAATGGAGAAATAAAGTGCCAAAACAAGTCCATCCAACTGCTCAGAGACAATATGTTAAAAACACATGGGCCTTAAGAATTGAAACACTTGAAAAAAGCTCAAATGTCATTTACCATAGCAGAAATCCAACTCTCCATCTGTAGCACCTGATTCTGCCAAGTGTTCAAAGGTTCAAGACATTCTGTGCAGTACTATAAGTAATAGTGTACTATAGTCCATTGCCAAAAGGATAAGAGGTGAAAAGCAGATTTTATCCTTAGCAGATTTCTTTAAAAGATTTTAAAATTCTACACTTTCCTTTCCATGTACCTTCAAGAGCAATGAAAATACGAATCAGTTAGCCCTTTTATACTTTAGCAATTAGCATAGGGTTTGGATTTTAAAGGCCACACTGTACTCGAAATACTGCACAGGAGCCTACCTCGATGTTCTGTTTGTTCACTAGGTAATAATTTGTTTCAAAAAAGGAATACTACCAATGTGTAGAACAAGCATCACTGGCACAGCCTGCGTCCACACCATTTAGTAAACTTCAAAATGTACTTTTTTTAACCAAACTAATCCTACGATTTACAGTGTACGGCGTATAGAGTTAAAAAAAGATTATACGGACGAAGGAAATAGGCAGTAAGTAATAGGTTAATAATATTTATAGAAGATTAGAATATAAATTATTTAAACATGTATTACCCTAATACAGTTTATAAGACTCCATCACACTACAAGTTTTTAGAAGGGCTTCTTCACTCATGCATACAAATTAGGAGGCTCTATAAAATCAAGATTTACAGACTTACTGTACAACTGTTTTTTTTATGATTAGCTTTAATGACTGAATGTATCCCAAGTTCTAGTCACATACTCAGTACTTAAAAAGAGAACTGGCAACATTTGCACAAGCCTTATGCCGAAGAGCATACATACCACTTGTCAAACAAGTGTTTCTCTATATTATTTTAGATATCTATATTTTACAGTAATACACATTTCCAATTTTTTATTTTTATTTTAACAGCTGCATTCCCAGACAATACATTCTGCTGTGAGATGATGTGCATCCCAAGCAAAACTGAATAGTGGAAAAGGACCTACAAGAGGAATGCAAAAAAAGCACTTTCACACGGACAAG